TTTAACACACTATCTTTTCCCAGAGCTATTAGTGCCTAATATAGTATTAAGGAAAAAGAACACAGAGTTAACTGGTCCTTTTTGGAGATTCCTCATTTCCAAAAAGGTCCTGTAAACAAAAATGGGCTGTAGAATATGTCACCTTCCTTCCTTAACACTACCCTTTAGATCTTTGATATATGCCAGGTAATCCAAAGGAAAAGTACATAGAAGGAGTGAGCTGGGAAGAAGGAAACAATTGCCAGCAGGCTGGGAATAGCAGCATGTGGCAGACATTACAGGCATTTGCTAGTATCCAGTTCTTCTCTTTTGAATACAGGGCAAGTCTTAACCTTCATATCGCCTTCAAGTTAGGCAGGGCTGCATGACTGCAGAGAGTAGAAGTGATGTGTGTCATTTCTTAATTGCTAGTACTCCATCTGGATCTGTCCTTCTAATCTCTCTCCTGCTCCTCTCCTCCACCCCTCTCTTTCTCTAAAGTGGCAACTGTGGAAGTGCATTTGACATTGAAGTGCAACTCATGAGTCCCCACATGGAGGAGAAGTGCCTGGAATCTCTGACTTGCACAGATTTTAAGTCACTGAGATTTGGGGCAGGGTAGGGGAGCAGGGGGTGGTTGTTAGGCAGAAAAACCAAATGTCTCTTGATTTATACCCAATGATTTTTTTTTTCTCTCCTCCCAGACCTATTAGAGTTCTGGAAAATTTGTGCATTATCCCAGCCCTATTCTCACCAAAATTCAGAGAAGTGGGTAATGCATTTTTTTCTCATACTTAGGATATTCAGCTGAGAAGTATGATGGAGTCCTTCCATCTGAGCAAAGGAGGGCTCTGTATTCTGTAGTGGAATAAAATATCCTTCCACAGCATAGGATGAAAGCATGGTAATAATGAAGCGAAAGCTCAGAAAAAAATGACACTTCAAAATAGTTCTAAGATGGGTTTTTAGGCCAGAATAGAATATTTTGTAATCTGTACCTTTCCTTTCATTTTTTGGCAACTCTGGTTTTGTTGGACAAGCTTTTTAAATCCTGTCTCTGAGCAGAAACTTTGCTTTATTCATAACACATGACGTAAAGACAGTATGCAAAAAGCTTGACATCTCTAGGTCAATCCAGAAATATTTCTGAATCTGCAATACCTCAAGAAAATGGTTAGGAGCCCAGTGCAATCAGAGTGACAGAGTTGGACTTTCATACACACTACACACACACACACACACACACACACACACACACACACACACATCTATGGAGAGAAGGATCTCAAAAAACTTCTGAATTACATCATTATCTTCTTTCAATATAAATATTTGACGATACAAGATGCCTTACTAACAAGTCCTGGGTGGTGCTAGCCTAGCAAGTTTTCAGCTCCTGGGGAAGAGGACCACTTGAGTCTTTTATCCTGTGCACCTTCCCTGGGGCAATCTTCCTGTTAGTGTTTCCTACTTTAACAATGGTGAAAAGTGAAGATGGCTATGGTGAGCCTCTGCTGTCTTCTCAGCTCCAGTGTTGGGGCAGGTGCTTCTCAAAGCGGATAATCCAAACAATAGCATTGCTCTTTATTTGAAAAATATTCACTGAGTTACTGAAGAATTGTATTATGGCATTTTGCTGAGAACTTTGGTGAATTGAACATGAATAAGACAGTTTGCAAAGCTGTGAGCAGAAATACTACATGGGAGAGGGGTGGGAAGGAGGAAGGACAGCCTGGGTACAAACTCCCATTCCATCCTTCCCAGCAGGAGACCAAACCATCCTGTCTTGGTTCCTTACTAGGAAAGAAGGGATACAATGAGGATGCTTCAYGAGACTGCTAGAAGGATCAGGTGGGAGTGTCTTTATGTAGCAGCTCAGCATTAGGAGAGTTTGGTGTGCAGAAGCCATGTTTAGGCCTGTCCTGCACTGTCTTACAAGTTTCTTGGAGTCAAAAAAAAAAAAAAAAGTCTCAAGGAAGAAATCACTAAATCTTTGACATTTAGGATGCAGCTAATTCTTCCTCTTACCTTGTCCAATACTTTTGAATAACACATTTTAGTGTATAATGGTAGTTTTTCTTTCTTGGTGGACAATGAAATGGGAGAGAGATCACATGAACAGTTATAGAGAATAAATGGTAGCTTTCCCAATGTAGGGGGGACAAAGTAATATTTTCCTCATTGATGGCAAGGTTCATGCTTGATGTCTATAAAGGTTTAGATATGAGGTGTTCCCCAAAAGGCCATGTATGAGAATATTCAGAGGAGAAATGATTAGATTATGAGAGCTTTAACCTCAACAGAATATTAATCCACTGATATGGGTTAACTGGGCTAACTGTAGGCAGGTAGAGTGTAGCTAGAGGAAGTCAATCTCTGGGGTTATGTCTTTGAGGCTTATATTTTGTCCCTGGTGAGCAAAGTTCTCTTTCTCTGCTCCCTCATTGCCATGTCCTCTTGCTGCTTTGCTCCTCTACACCATTCTGCTATGATGATCACCTCAAGGCCTTACCTCAAGGCCCAGAGCTACAGAGACAGCTGACCAGGGACTGAACCTCTGAAGCTGTGAGCCAAAGTAAACTTTTCTTCTTAAGTTGTTCTTGTCAGGTCTTTTGGTCACAGTGACAAAAAGCTAACATGGTACCCCTATAACAAGACACAGGCTTACAAGAGAAAAGCAGGTAAATTTATTAACCTTTTTCTTCTTTTGAACTAAAGGTATCTATTCAGTGACTCAGAACTCAAGGCAGTAAGTTGTTTATAACTTAAACAACTTGGATGAAACAGATGTCCTCAAAAGAAAGACAAAAAGATGCAGTCCTTCCAAGATCCAGATCCACTCCCAAGGATGGCCACAAGACAGACACATATGCCCCTCAAGAACTGACAGCACCAAGCACATTCACCACAAATGGAGTACAATCTAATTTCTCTCTGGTCATATTCTTGGGACTCCCCCAGCCTGAAGTTGTCTGCCTGGACATGCAAGACTGATAAGCTGTATGCCCTGCTTGGTAGAAGGTTAAGGCAAGTTCTCAGCATACAAAACAAGACTAGGAAAAAGATGGCTGTTCACAGAGGGAAAAAAATCAATAATGAATAGGTACCCTAAAACTAAATTCAGCCAGAGTCTAGTCCAAGAAGTACTTTTCTCTGCTAATCTGAACTTGGAAAGGAGCAGACAAGAACTTTTTACCTTCTTCTCTCTACCTAGAACTACAGAGATCCTAGAAAGCTCTTCTTAGTGAGAATTCTTATTTCACCAACTTTTTGTCAATTGTCCCAGGACCTCATCTGTAGGTTGCAGAGCAAGAGGGGTGGCTCAGCCACCCACATTGGGCACCAAGAAATGTAGGGAAGAAAAAGTGTTATTTTGTCTTCGTTCTTTGCAAGGATCATGGCTGAGGCCCCTACAACAAGAGATCAAAGAGAAAAGCTGACAAACTTATTTACTGTACATTTTTAATGACATGGGACCCTTCAGAAATGAAAATCTCAAGAAATAGGGAAGCCTGTGCATTTTTATGCTTTGATGAAGAGTGAACAGGCCTGCATAAGTATAACTTGAGGGGAAAGGTATATGATCTAATGGTAATAAACCGGGGGCAGGGGGTAGTACTTAGTGAGGCCCATTTGTTCATATTCTTCTCTGCCTCCCTGTGTCTTCAGAGATAAGGACATTCCTTTCCTCAGGGTATAGGGAGGGCACATCTGGAAAGAAGGTTTTATGACCTGCTTCTGGGGAAAGACAGCTAGGTTTTATGACCTGCTTCAGGGGAGTGAGGAGAAGGGAGGGGGAAGGAGACAGTCACTGTCCTGTTCTGCTGTTTTCTCATGTTTTAGGGGTAGCGTACCCTGAACCCTACCACCAACTTCTCAAATACTTCTTTATATTTGAAATTGGCCAGGTCAGCTTATAAGAATTCATGGAAAATGTGCATTTAATCAGTTGCAAAATTCAGCTTGGTTTTCACAAACATTCTGCGGAAGATCACAAGTTCTCCAAATGTACTTTGCACAGAGGGAGATGCATGGCCTTGGCCTGGAACATTTCCTTCCTCATTTCTTGCAGGTTTACCCAAATCTCCTTCTGATGCCCAGCACACCTGCTTGTTGCCCAGGAATACCTTCCCTGGTCCACTCCAGGCAGGTGAGATGCTCCTTCTTTGGCCCTTGCAATGGAGCTTGGACGTGCATCTGTCATATCACTTTATTTTATTCTGCTTTATGTTATAGTTATTGTTTGGGGGTCTTTTGTAATACAGTTCTTGAGGACAAGGCATATATCCTATTGCTTTCAAACTTTGCCTGAGCACTTGGTCTGTTTAACAAATATGAAGTTGTTAAGAGACTTGGTCTTTGATCCGTTCTTCATCACTCACTGCTGACTTGGTACACAGCACTCTGTTGGGTGTTGACAGGAGACAGGAAATAGGGTATGACTTGATTTTTAGCCCCTAAGGCACTTAAATTTCCCAAGGGGAGCAGGTAAAAATGATTGTACAGAGGACAGGTTGGGTCACTAACGTCTAGGGTAAGAGCTTGCCAAAGGCTGGGAGTACTTAATGCCTGACTTTGAAGGGGCTGAAGCTCCCAGACCTTTACACTGATCCCAGCCTGATGTTTTGGTCAGAAGCCTGAGGGCAATAGGAATGGGTAGGCCCCTTATTCTCCTGGAAATGCCTAAATAATCCCATGGGTCACCAACTTATTTATTTGCTAATTGAGTGGCCCAGCTTTGGGCTTTAAATCTAAAGAAATCATTTCATCCTTTATTAAATACTGCATGAATCTCACTCTTTGTTCTGCAAGGCTATACACAATATACCAGTGAAACTTGAATTTACACTACAATAGTCATGCCACTAATGACCTTCCAAATGCCACTAATACCACACATGTTCTGCTTCTCGGTTGGATCTGAACCTGTCAAAGAATTCTGAGGCCATTGACCTCCCTCTAACATAAGAACAGACCCCCATGCCCATGCCCACCCCCAGCCTCCCCCATCATTCCATGATTTCATTTCTGAATCAGTTACTCTTTGGAGACCTCGATTCCTTTACACCTACTCTTTTTATTTGGTGGACAATACTTTATTCGGAAATGTTCCCTCCTGTAATTACAAATCTTGTTAGTCATCCTCTTTCTCTCCCCAGGGGGATTGTGGGCTTTAATTAATTAATGTGGTTAAACCGCTTTGAGGTGCCTGGTTGAAAGGTGCTATATAAGTGCAAATTATTATTATTATGTCTGTTGACATCCCATGGTGGCAAAGCCCTCAGCCCTACACATCTAGAGACCTGAACAAAGGCTTCTTCATCTTCACCTTCCCTGCTAGGTCTGAAATCGCTGGTTCAATGGTCTAGGAGCAAATCTGTTACCATCTCAACAGCAATCAACTAATTAATCCCCATTATGTTGGCTTCCGTTTCCTTCTTCCAAGCAGCATGGTCCTGTTTCATTTCACAAATCACACCCCCATCGGCTCTAGACAAAGGTCACAGTATCCCTATGGCCTGTTAGCCTGAAAGGAAAAAGAAAGAGAGAGAGCTTGAAAAAAAAGAATGTTGTCATGAAATGCACTAACTTCCCACCCTTCATGGAAATAAAACCTTCCTTATAGCAGCAGTCCCCTTCCCCTTCCCCACGGAACCACACCTGGCACACCAGATACCCAGAAACACAGTACCGGTGGGATTAAGGTCCGGTGGCTCTGGCTTGACCTACAAAGGGGGACTCTATCTGCACTGGTGGGAAAAGGTCATCCAAAGATGTCGGGGCCCCTCTTCAGCTTTCTCTACTACCCCCAAGTTTCCCCTGAGAAAGCCAGCTGCCATCTGTAGCCAGGAAGCCCTCACAAAGGCTGGGGACCATGATTTAGATGTTTTGTGCTACACCTAGCACACCACAGCCCTTAACAAATGCCTAGTGCTTCCACTATGATGGTAGCCATTGAAAACAGCCCTGTGGGGGAGACTTGGCCTCTTATAGGGACCAAAACACTCCTTACAAGGTCGTGCCTCAGACCCTTTGTTACAGTGGATGTGGGCAAGCCTCAGGGGGTCATGTCTTCATCTGCCTTCATTTATCCTCCCTATTGAAGGGCTCCTTCAGGACATCGGTCAGTCTCTGTGGGAAATGATTTGGAGAGCAACAAAAGAACTTGGGCCCTTTGGGGGGCCTTCAGAATTCAGTAAACATCTGGACGGGGAAGGCCAGATTCTCAAGCAGTCTAGCTGGGGAGATGTCAAAAGAAAAAGAGCTGTGTGTGCAACGTAAGCTCTTAGTTCTGTGGCGACATTTGTTGTCCAGAAAGACACAGACACCCCAGTAGGTAGAAAGGAAGATTTTTCAAAAGCTTCTCTATTTGACGGTTTTTGTGACTGTGGCTCCTGTTTGTCAGTTCTCATGGCCTGTGTGAGGAAATGGAAGTTTCGCATGGTTAGCAAGCAGCATGTGATGTCTGTTCTGATTCTGTATGTGTATGAATAACCTAAGGTTGCATAAGCCTGTCCTGCTAGTTGTTGTTAAACATTTCTGTTATCTTTGAGGTTTTTAAAGTCAAGGTGACTTACTGGATTCTCAGGATGAGCACATTTTAATTGACCAAAAAAAAAAAAGCACTAAGAAGCTAAGTGATTTATACTTCACACAGTGAGATGTAGGACCTGAACTCTTGACTCTTAATGTTCCCTTTATTGTTGAGTCAATCCATTTAGAACACATTAGTCAGCATGATTCAACATTCGTCACTAATCAGCACTAGAGATGGAACTAATCAGCATTCCCCAGTGTCCCTAAAGCTATCCTCAAATAGCAAAAGAAATTGGCCTCTGTCAAGAGACAATGGAATGTGGTTTTTGTTGGTATTCAGAAGCTGAAGTCCGGTTCAAGCCTCACATACTCTTAGGAGCTTTCCTCAGCCATCCTAGTTGGGACAACCCTATTTCCTTCCATCCTTCCATATCCTTGAAACTTGAAATAGCTGTCACAGTTTGCTGATGATTAGATCTACATAATTACATCTTCCCGAACTAGACTGTGAGCTACATAAGGGAAGGGAACTTTTTTTCCCTCTCTCAATCTTGTATCCCCTGAGTCCTGAGCAGCATGTTCTGCAAACAATAGATGCTCAACAAATACTTGCGGAACTGAATGAAGCTTAAATGATATTCCATAAAGAATACAAGTCCTTTTGGAAGAGATTTTCAGAGAAAATAAAAAACCTGAATTGATTTAACATCTTTTGGTATTATTACTTGGGCATTTTCACAGATGCAAATTGTTAGTTCTGCCTATGGCTTCTAGGTTCTAAAAGTGGAGTGTGGACCCAGGGTAAACTATGGTCCAAGTCTTGGAATGAAATTTTTCTCTATAACCTTATTTCAACTGCATTTTGTTTCATGTTAAAAAAAAAAAGTAGAGGCAGAAAAAACATTCTGGAAAAAAAAATGTTTATAACTTTGGATTTCCTACCCTATTCTGTGCTACAAGAACTAGTAGCTCCCATTCAAGTTTCTTTCTCAAATGCTGAATAACAGAAAACACATACTAAAATTACTGCCTGAAGGAGATTCTGTTTTCGTAGGGTAGGGCGGGTTGCCAAGATTTTGGGGCACTGGTCCTTGGTAGAAGAACAGAATGATAATGCTACTCCTCTTTTCTCTAGGCTCTGGAAACAAATAGGGCCCCAACAGCATTTTTAACACATACTATATATTTTAAAAATTTTTTTTTAGTTTCTGATAGATCTTTATTATTATTTATTTATTTATATGTGGTGCTAACAATTAAACCCAGTACCTACAAAGGAAACTACCAATTACAATACCAACACATGCTAGGCAAGCATTCTACCATGGAGCTACAATCCCAGCCCCTATGCACACTATTTATGTGGCATTTCAAGAGTATAACTCTATTATGCAGCAAGCCTGACCAAGGATCTGTACTATTGCAATGTGGGAATTAATCTCTGAAAGGTTTATGTCACTAAATATTCATCTTCCTCTTTCTCTTGTGCTAAAAGAGCTCCCACAATTCACAATTTTTGTGGGTACATGGCCACTCAGATTAATAACTACATTTTCACCATTTCTTGCCATATACCCACAGATGGCCAATATGATATAAGTAGAAATAAAGTGTGTAACTTCTGGTTAACATCCTCAAAGAAAGGGGGATGCTTTCTCTCCCACCACCATCTCTGTCCCACACAAATCCTGCTACCTGAATGGAGCAATGATGCTGCGACATATTGGGTCACGACAACAACAATAATATCCTAGGTGTGATGGAGCTACAAGCCAACAGATTGTGTCCCTGGATGAACCTGGGGAGCCAAGCTGCCACACCAGCTCAGGACCACATTCCTCTGCAGTGCTCTATGAGAAGGGGAGTAAGCCTCTCTTTTACACTACTGTTAGTTTAGGTAGTGGCTATGCCCAGCCAAACTTATAACCCAACTGCCCTCAGGGAATTTCTTGGAGGATCATTATATCAGTGTGACTGATACATTTTAGCTTAGATTTTCAAGATTCAACATTTAAGATGGGGCTAAACTACATCAACAGAGGCCTATGAGGCCTGAGAGATAAGCAGCTACAGGGGCTGCCATGATGGAAGAGGAATGACCCAAAATCTTTTTGATTTTCTAAAATCTTAGGCCCAGGCTGAATACTTGAAAAGGAGTAAAAAAACCAACTTTGAGGCAGTGAACTTAGCTTTACTTTCTTGAAACTGTTTCCTCAAGAAAATCAAGGAAATGGGTGAACTAAAAGCCCTTGTTTGAGGAAGTGTATATACAGTTAGCTTTCGGAGAATGAGTTTATCAGTGATCATCTAAGTACAGGTATAAAGCACACACACACTGTGTAGAAAATCTCTCTGGAGCATATGGCAAGCTTACATTCGTAAGAAAAGAGATAAAAGAGGCATCCATAAAGAACACATAAGAAGATCAGCCATGGAAATATGATAACACATCAACAATTATACATGGCTGCACAGAGATTGGTCCACTACCTCCACAGAGAGTCTAAATTGGTTAACTTATTTTGAGAAAAATTTGGGAATATATATAAAAGATGCCTGATCTATACCTAGAGAAACCCTCAAGTCATGTTATAAATAATCAAAATATCTATAAATAAGGGAGTAGATAATGGTGTATTCATACAATGGATGTGAATACCTGAAATAAATCAAAGAAATCTATGTGCATGAATGTGGACATACATAAAAACATTATGTTAAGTGACAAAACAAAGTTATAAAGTAATGTGTATGATAAATCATTTATAGAAATTTTAAAATGCATTAAAAAACAAATCATTATATTATACATAGATTCACAGGTAGGTAGAAAAGTTTTAAGAATGAAAGAGATTGAGTCAAATGTATGAAAGATGATATATCATGAGCTCTGTAATGTTTTGAACAATCAATAAAAAAAAAAAAAGAATGAAAGAGAAAGAAATATGCCAAATGGTGGAGAACTTTTCTTCTGTGGAGGAGAGTCAGGTGGGGAGGGCCTGGAGTAGGGATAGGTACAAAGGAGTTTTGAATTCTGTCAAATTTTTGTCCTAGAATTGAAAAAAAAAATCTGAAACTACTAGAATAAAAATTTTAGCAGTTGTTAATTCTGGGTGTTATATTCATATAAAATTCATGTTTTTTGATTTTCTGTACTATTCTGTATTAAAAATATTTTTCAGGCTGGGGTGTAGTTCAGTGGTAGAGGGCTTACATAGAATGAGCTAGGTCCTGAATTTTAACCCCAGCACCCCAAAATCTACATTGATAACAGTCTCTCTCTGAGGCTGACAGCCAGAAGAAAAGACGTGAATAAGGCAGAAGGCCAGTGTGGGGGGTCCTGGAAGAAGGAGATGGGAAATAAATGCAGAGAGGAGAAGACCCTGGGTAGATGGTGGTCCTTCCTCTTTCCCCTAGGAAGTCCCACAACAAAGAGGCCTGAATAAACTTTCTGAGGCTGCAGTGGCACCTGTCAGGACAAGGACAATGTGACAGGCTGGCTCTGCCTTCCTCTTCATGACTTCCAGGAGGAGTTTGAGCTCTCTGAGCCACTGAATCTCAGGGTGTGCCAGGTGTGTGAGTGGTACTAGCCAGACTAAGAATCTTCTGGGTCATTTTGAGTCTACCAGGCAGACAATATTTAGATGAGCTACTGATTCAAATCGAAATCTGATAAGCTCAAGTGGTAGTATTTGGGGGAAAAGAATTTTTCAATAAATCATCCAGTTGGCTCGGTAACTATGAAAAAGGAGTGGAAGAATTTAAACCAACTTTGTGACAAGGGAACAAATAGAGGAGATTAATGCCTTTCCTGATATGCTTCAAAAGGTGATCAAACAAACCATTCTTGATTGTAAAAGCAGAAAGATGAAGCACTTAGCTTTCCATAAAAAAGACCATTGTTTCTTTTTTCTTTCTTTCTTGGTTTCTTCTGAAAAAGTGACTAAGTGACTGAAGGTAGCTTGGTGTTCAGTACCTTCTCTGGACCTGTGTCAGGGTGCCCTGGTCTCCTCTGATGTTCTCCAGCTATCCTAAAATTTATGCTATTCATTCAAACCCAAACTAGTATAGACAGTGTTGGAATCCAAATTCAACCAGTTGTATCTGATCCTGATTTTGTAAAAACTGTTTAAAAACATGTTTCTATCTCACTGAGAAATAGTTGCTACCTTCAGTCCTGCTCAAAACAACTTTGGCTTTCTGTATTTCCAACCCTCCCTAAATTCCCAAGGAAGAGAGAACAGGAAAAAGAGTGAACAATGTACCCTGCCAGCCTAGCTTCTCCATTCTTAGGGCTAGCCCTGCTTGAGAAGCTGCTTCACCTCATCCATGGGCCTCCCAAAACTGGGGGATGGTTCCAGAAGGGTCTGACCCTGGCTTCTTACATGCGCCCTGCAGCATCAGCAACATAGCCTGGCTGCTTTCAATTAGAGTCTCTGCTGTGTTCTGGGTGGTACATTTGATGCTTACTAAAGAAACAAAGGATATCACCAGAGCTGATGTGGGTAGTGGTGGAGTTCACTGAGAATTCTTCTTCCCTTCTGCACCTAAGTGCTTTGAGGCCCACCCCATTAAAGCTGGTGCCCCAAATCAACCTCTGCTTTTCTCTTGCCACCAGATCCCAGCATCCTGCAGTCTCATTCCAGCCTAGGCCAGCTCCTCTAAACTTTTCCACTTGATGGGCACTGGACCTTCCATAGGGGACAAAAGAAAAACTGGATTCAGGGCTCCTCCTCTACCCCCACCTTTCCCACTCCAGTTGCACAAAGGGCTGAACTCTTCCTTTGCCCCAAGCTGAACCATCAAGAAGCTGCTGGCTGCAGTCAGCTTTGGGCTCCTTTGGGGCCCAAATATTTCCAGGGTCCAGGGCCAGGCCAGGAGAGGCCAGGATACCAGAAGAACGTGGGCAGACAAAGAAGATGCAGACGGGATAGTATTACCATGTTAATGGCCTGAGTCTGAGGCCTCCTGAAGATGCAGGGAGGGTGGGTTTTCTTTCTCTTACTTTTTCTTTTTCTTTTTTTTTTTTTTGCCAAAGGAGAATAGTTCCGCTTTCTATTTTACTTCAACAATAGCACAGACYGGCTCCTTCAAGTGTTTCAAAAAGCGCCTGAGAAATCTCTAACCAGCCCCTGGGTCTCTCTGGCCTGCCGCTTCATTGTCCCTCCCACCCCAGTGAACAAAGGGGTGGGAAGGGTGTCAGGCCCCCAGTTGCTGCCTGTTCTCACATCCTAATCCTTGGGAATGGGAGGGGAATGGCCTGCAGAGTTGCTGGATCCTATTCTGCTCTCACTTTTTACTCCCTTCCACTGCTTGTGCAGAGCTTCAGGTATTAGCAAACCTCCTGGGCAGGGGCTGGAAGGAATCTTGGCCTTGCTAAGAGATAAAAGGCACTGAGGGACCATTCCCAAGTTCACTAGCAGCATGGATTTTTCTTCTCACTGCTCCTGCTCACTCTATTATGGAGGCTGGTGTCAAGGCACAGACCTGTCTCACCCTCCCAGCCCTTCCCCTCTGTCTCTGTGTCCCTCTGAAATGGACTGCAGACCCCACTCAGAGCTCCAGGTGCTACCACGCCAGAGCAACCTTGCACACCAGGAAAGCTTTCAGCCTTGACTTGTGGGTACCTTTCCAAGTTTACCACCCAGGGAGAAAAGGGTTTCTTTGCTTTAAGCCTGGGGAATTGTGCAGGTGTCTTTTTTAGCTCAGTCATCTGGTAAGAAAGGGAAAAATAAGCCTTTATGTTCCAGTGTATGAAGATCTCAAGAGAACAACTAAAGGTATCAGGCTAAATGAATGATAAGTATATCACCCCCCAGGAGGATCAGATAAAGCTGAAGTGAAAAGTGAAAAGAAAGCAAGGAACAGGGAGACAGGAGAGTGAGAAATGAAAAAACGGAGACCAGGCAAAGATACACATGAGAGTTTTATTTGTCAGAGCTGACAAATAAAGGCACATCTCTCCATTGATGGAGAGAGGCAAAACAGGCTTGGGGTTTGGGACTTTTATGGGGCAGGCTCAGAGATTAGAGCCCCATGGGTCTTAATGGGGGTGGGGTTGGTAGGAGGGAGTGGTGAGCCTTTCTCAGAAATGCCCTTGGGCGGAAAGTGAAATTTTTCTTAAAATGGCTGTCACTTAAGATGGCCATTCAGATGCTAAGCAAGGACCTTACAAGAAGGCCTTTAGAGATTACCAGGGCTAGTTACTGCATTCAAAGCTTAAAAAAAAAAAAAAAAAAAGGAAAAGAAAAAAAAAGTGTCACCCTGCAATTCCTACATATGAATTCATGACATGCACAAGTGCACACACAAGCACACATGTAATAGATATTTAATTAAACAATACAATATATGTGATATAATCTGATATTTTCTGTTCTCCCTTCTTTTTTCCTAAATGCTGATCTTGATTTATCAATTTCATATCATGACCCACTAATTGGTTACAGCAAAGTTTGCAAAGCCTTGAATCAACATTTTCATTTTCAAGAGGACAAAATTAGGGCTCAGAGACTTTCTCAAGATCATATCAGAGCTGAAATGAACCCCAAGAGTTCTTTACAATCAAAGAGGGACCCTCATTTTTCTGAGAGCACCCTTTTCCCCCTTAAAGTCTTTGGAGCACAGAGCCAAGAGGGCAGGGAGTGCAAGAAGTGTATTCAGTGGCACTGCCGCCAGAAGCAGAAGGGCTCTACTGCCTCCAAGATCTCTGGGAGGGAAGCACAGCTGAGAGTTGGGCTGGAGAAAACCCTTAGCAAGCAGCCAGGTGAAGTTCTGAGGCCGCCCCGGCATTTTGTATGTTGGTTGGGGATTTACATTATAAGCCATCTCTCTGAATTTCTTCTTTCCTGGACGCACTGCTCTAGGTCAGTTTCCTTTAGTAATCCATTTTCTCCCATTTTCCAGTTTTTTCTAACAGTCATTCCTTGTGGTTCTTTGACCTTTACCAGTTCATTATATCTCTAGTTTCTCTTTTCTCTAACCAGTTTTCTTTTCCCTGTCAAAATCATGGTCTTAACAATGAGGATCAGGGAAGCAATCCAGTAGATCTTAGTTCCACACATGTCCCTGATGTTATCCACATTAGACCAAGCTTAGGAATGTCATTTATCAAGGTATAAACATCACAGCAAGATTTTACTACAAGTCCTTAGGGCAGAACTGATTCTTTTCATCCTGGATTTGTCTTATAATCTTCCATAGGATTTCTTGAAATGTTCCTCTATATTTGCTATTTACTAGACTTCTTATCTTTTAAAACAGCCTCTAAAAATGAAGAGCTCAAAGCCACACTGTGCACTGGGTAAATAAAAACCGAGCTTTCTGATTGCTTATTAGTTATACACCCTTAGAGAGTATGTAACAAAGGGGCCTGCTGTTTGCTTTGCTTAATCTGGTCTTAAAATCTCTGCTTCTTTGTCAGAAAACAATATTTGCAATTGTAAAAAAAAAAAATATTTACCAAGGAACTTGGATAGCATAAGTCAAAGGCTAAGAGCTAAAGGTCAGTAGTTCTTATCCCAAATTTTTGTGAACCTGAGGGTCCCTGCTGTGAAGCTCAATTGCATCAAACAAACTTGCAGCTTTTGAGTCCATTAAGAAGCAGGCATTTTAAAAGGGGAAGGAAAGGGAGGGCTGTAGTCTATTCCTCAGTCAGAAGGGTGAACTCCCCAGCCAGCCCCACAGAATTCCTGCTAGATATTGTAAAGCAATGTGTCTCCATGGGAATATTACTGGGACTACCCTCTTTCCAAAATTGTGGAAAAACCTCAACTTACAAAATCTTACCAGGCAGACATTCCTTCCATGAATGGCCTTGGCAATAAGCTTCTCAGGCCTGAGGTTCACCTATGTATCTCTGTGGGTGGACCTGCTGCTTAATAGTGGGGGACAGAGGAATATCGTGGGCATTTCTTTACCCACAAAGGAGTTTTAGACATCTGACCCTTCTAAGAGACTGATTCTTCTAAGTTTAATGGTGTTTGAATTTATGCCTTTATGTTAATTATTCTCTGGAAAGATTTGCCATTGGGTGCCTTTCCTAACCTCCAGAGTATCTGGCATCTGCAGAACAGTTCTGGCATCTGAATTACAGCTTGTGGCTCGGGAGTGTTCCACTTTGAGCAAGAATTTGAGTCCTTTCAAGTCCCAAGCCTATGTTACAAGGTGCAGGTAGGCAAGGCCTGGTCTCTAGCAGAAGGGCCTGCTGAGACTCAAACACCAGAAAGGGAAACATAGTAACCATAAGGAGGCAGGAAATGGAGCTCATGGAGTGGGGACACAGTGCCCCACAGGCTGCCAGTCCAGATGCTGCCACAGCCTGTGAAGTGAGAGGGCTCCTCCACACCATCCAGTTCACACCATAGGATCTCTGTAGAAGACTGATGGTGGCAATTCCTAGATTTCTTCCTTTCACTTTTTGCTTCTTCCAGTCTGTTATTAACAATATAGTCCTCCCTCATCCACACCTCAACCTTTTGTCAAATTCTTGCCACAACTGCCAATCTCTTGATCTTGTCAGGGAAATATCACTGGCCAATTCACGTTGGCCTTTGATTCTGTCCTAAAATAGATTCTTTTGGACCACAGCAATGTTACCTCTAGCAGTGAGCAGCATTGAGCATAGTCAGCTTGAAGAAATGGCTTAACCTAAGGATCTTACCTTGAAGAACCAGGCCTTCCTCCTTGATGGTGTAGATAAATGAGGTGAAGGGAGCCAGAGGGGATTTGGCAATGAGAATCTGCAAATAAATCACATTTTTCCAGAGTCAGACAAAGAATCAGGTATGAGTCTCTATTTACTACTCTTCTAACTTTGACATAGAGTGGTATCACATGACTGTAAGTCATAGGTTTATTATTTTCAAAAAATCTTTTAGAACCAAATGTTCAAATGAATGATATCCTTTCAAAATGATCACTTTAGAAGGATATGGTGTTTATCCAAATATTCTGCCACCAAGTGCCATATTCTTGAACCAATTCTTCCAGAAATAAGACACATTATTTTTTATATCACAGCTACTTTTCTGCTCAAAGATAAACCTAGCTCCATTCTTTAATTTTATGAATAAATAGTTAGTTAAAAAATTCAAAGTGACCCTTAAAATATTTACCATTACTGCAACTATTCAAATTAACTTGCCAAAGACAAAGCAATGGTAAATTGCTTTCTTGGACCCAATCCCTCACCTTGTCTGTATTTACACCCTTTATCTTGTGACTATATTTTCTCTTCAGGTGTAGCGCATTTTCCATGCCCTTGACGGTAGGGTTGTCCACATGACTTGTTTTGGCTAGTTGTTTTGTGCCAGTTCCCAGATTATGCCTCAAGAAGTCTCAAGTATTTCCATTTGTTCTCTTATGCTTCTGCCAATGCCAGAAAAAAAATGTCCAAGCTAGGCTGCTATCTCAGAAGGGTAAGAGACACCTGAAAAGAGCTGGCCAGCCAGGACCATCTAAACAGCTGAACTCGGGGGGCCTATACACATATAAGTTAAATATTGCTATATACCTCTCAACTTCTGGTGGTGGTGTCATGAAACATTATTGTAGCAAGAGGTGACTGATAACACCAGCCAGAACAAAATACCAAAAGCACTTTTGGCAATGGCATTCTTCTACAACAAATACCTATTTAAAAGGAGATGATCATTTGGTTATTTAAAAAATCAGTATCTTTGTTGGACGTGGTGGCACACGCCTGTAATCCCAGTGGCTCCAGAGGCTGAGACAGGGAGGATCACGAATTCAAAGCCAGCCTCAGCAATTTAGTGAGCCCCTAAGCAACTCAGTGTGACCCCATCTCTAAATAAAATACAAATAGGGCTGGGGATGTGGCTCAGTGTTTGAAAGCCCCTGAGTTCAATCCCTGGTACCCACCCCCCCCAAAAAAAAAAATCAGTATTATTAACTCATTGTCACACTTCATGAAGATCTACAGAAACTCTAAGGATTGGTAGATTTTTATGATATTTTATTGAAGAAATATGAATATCAGTTTCCTGTTTTTCAAATCAAAATAATATCATCAAAAACAGTGACAAGGGACTGGGGCTATAGCTCAGTGCTTGCCTAGCATAGTTGAGGCACTGGGTTTGATCTCAGAAGCACACAAAAAATAAATAAATAAAATAGTTATAAAAAATATATATTAAAAAAATAGTGATAAGCCAGGTGCAATGTTGCATGTCTGCATATGTGCATAGGCCCTTGGTCAATGCCTAGTGCTAAGGAAAAAAAAAAGTGACATTGGGTCACGGAACCACTTAGGTAATCAGGAAAGCAAGGAAGAAGGAAGAAATAATTGCAAACAACCAAAAGGCTTACGCATATTTCAATTCAACAAACATTTATTGTCTGTCAATTATGAGAAGTGGTAGAATAACGGGGTAAGGAGATCACAGGTTTTAGTCATGGGGTTTGAATCTTGCTCTTCTACTAGTTGGCTAATCCTCAGCAGAGCCTGCATATATTCCCTACTAGTCACTCCCCTTCTTCCTTTTAGTAAATAACTGCCCAAGTTCCCACATTTCTCTGCCTCTTTTGCAACAAGGTGTGTAGCCATGTGATTAAAAGACTATGAGTACAAATGCCAGGTAGAACTTCCAGATTCTGTTTTCATAAGAAAATTGCATGCCCTTCATTTTCTCTTTTCCCCTTCCCAAGGGCAGGAACCAGTTCCAACCACATAGACAGGACAACTTCCTGGTCATTATGAAGCAATATGGGAGGAGAAAGCTTGGTGACTTCAGATAGCATCAATACCTTCTAGCTGGGTCACTTGTCCCCTCAGGACGGAGCTACTTGTTTCAATCACTGTATTTCAGCTGTCTTTGTGATATAGTATAGACTGAACTCTAACCAATACTGTGATGCTGGACAATTTAAACTTTTTGAATCTCAGTTTCCACATTTGTCAAATGGGGATAAAATCTCATTAAATGAGATTATCATGAAGATTAAATTCAGTATATAAAATACTTGTCAAACACTAGTAAATGCCTAATAAATAACAGGAGCATTTCTAAGCTCACCAAAACCCCAAATACTTTGCTTTTCAATAAGGAAGTCTCTAGTTGAATCTCAATAATTTTTAGTAGCTGCTCTAAAATTATTCACAAACTTGCAAACCATTTTCATAAGCAATGAGTATAGGTGGGCAATTATACTTTCATGTTAAAAACATGACATCTAAAAATTAAGATGGATCATTTTCTGACTGAGGTTGAGGTTCACATGAAGTTTAAGGATGCCCTTTCACAGGGGAACGGCATGGCAGAAGAAAGGATAATGCTTTTCAAACTTCAATATGGGTGTGGATCACCAGCAGGTCCTGTTGACCTGCAGATTCTGATTCAGCAGATTTTGAACAGGACCTGAGAGTCTGCACTTCCAACAAGATCCCAAGAGATGCTGATGCTGTGATCCCAAGAACACATTATAAGTAGCCTGATTGAAGAATAAGAAAAACAAGAGATGGGAGGTATAGAGCCAATTAGAAAGATACTACAGTAATTCAGTGATGAGAATAAATTATGAGATGTGGCCTAAACCACAATTGTGTCAGAAAGAATGGGGAAAAGGAACAAGATCAAATAGGAATGAAAGAAACTAAACATACCCCAAATCTCAGATTGCTATTGTCTAAATGTAGCAACCAAACATGAAACCAAAAGGGTATAAATAAATAGCAATCAATAATGTGACATTCCAATGCTTGATGAAATAATAGCCCCTGCACCTAAGCCTTCCAACTCTGTGGTGCCACCTCTGTAGTCTAATGCCCATCCTAAGAACAAGTCCTAAGTCCCAGCCAAGGGAATCTCACACCTGTGAGGACCCTTCTGCAGGCAATCAAAGGGTTTGAACAGGTCACTGATTAATGCTCCATTTTTTGGGGGGAGCAGTATTTAAAATGAGTCATCAAAAGGATGATTTGTGTGCAGTCAGAAAGAGGAAGTGATAAATAATGTCAGATGAATCCCACTTCCTTTTTTTTTGGGACAGAACTTCTAGATCAGAGGGCTGTCATCAACATGAAATATCTGATTTTGGGGGAAAAAAAAGTGACAAACTCTTTTGACAGCCTGGTAGATAAAGTAAAGACAAGTTGCACTGAATACTAAGACATTTAGAGTGAATTTGTAAGTGGCCCAAAGCTCAGTAGCAACCTGTGAAGGGATCAACCTTTGATGTGATGCACTGGTTTCTAGCCTTGGTCCTGTTCCATTCAACATTTTTAACTGATGAGGATGCTGACATATTCAACTACATCCATACAACAAATGTGGAATCCAGCAGGGACTAGAACTGACAAAAAAAAATGTTGCACTAATAGAGCTTAAAAGCTAAAGGAGGAAAAAGGCAATAAACTAAATATGGTATCTTAAGGTGATTATATGTGCTATGGGGAACAAGGGCAGTAAAAGAGTATAGTAAAGAGTATATGTAGTACATCAGAGGAGGGTGTCATTTTTAAATAGAGTAGTTTGAAAAGACTTCTTTGACTTTTGGATCATGTAACTAACCTTATTGATGGGAAGTTTTAATAACAGGAAGGTAATAGAAGACAAGAAAGTCAGAGGAGGAATTCATATATTAGATCATACAATCATGATATCCTAATGAATCTCAATTTGGTAAAAATGTTAGGACAAATCCTACATGTGTTTTATTTTTTATTTTATTTTTTTTTAATTAGTGCTTGGGAAAGGGAGGGTTCTCCTCCCCCTCTCTCCTCCTGAAGCTTTCTTTTTTTTTTTTTTTTTAAAGAGAGAGTGAGAGAGAGAGGGGGACAGAGAATTTTGATATTTCTTTATTTTTTCTTAGTTCTCGGCGGACACAACATCTTTGTTTGTATGTGGTGCTGAGGATCRAACCCGGGCCGCACGCATGCCAGACGAGCGCGCTACCGCTTGAGCCACATCCCCAGCCCCCTACATGTGTTTTAGAATGCTGAAATCCTTGAGAACAGAGCACAAACTTTGGCTATAGAATGGAGGAGATAAAATAAAGCATTCGGAAAATGGCTTAGAAATGTTGGTTAATAATAATTCAACATGAATCAGGAGTAAGATGTGATTCTCAAAGATATAGTATGGTCTCGGGTCATTGTAATGGAAGTATAGTGTCTGGAACAAGGGCTGTGATAGTTCTGCTGTCCTCTTGACTCAGCAAACCACACATTACACAGTGTGTATAGATTGGAGCCCAGAGTCCAAAAGCGAAGCTGAAAAATGGGAGAGCCAACAAGGTGAAGATGGGGCTGGAGTTGTAGCTCAGTGGTAGAGCACTTGCCTCGCAAGTGAGAGGCACTGGGTTCGATCCTAGCACCACATAAAAACAAATAAAGGCATTGACTCCATAAACAACCAAAAAAAAATTATAAAACAAAAACAAAAAAACAGGTGAAGATGCCAAAGCAATCCATAATTAACACACTGCAATGCAAACATGATTGTCAGAGGACTGGGTGAAGGTGTTTAATATGAGTTTTCTGATCTAGAGTTTGATAGTGTTACCTACTTGAGAGGAGATGGATCAATAAGCTTTCAGTTCAGTTGGTTTTGGAGGGGAAATATAAGTTAGCTTTTAGCTTAGTAGATTTCAGGGTGGGGGAGGCAGTGATGCTTGCCATGTATCTTTGTGAATACACAGATTCTTCTTTTTAAAGATCTGAATCAATGTCCAGTGCCCATGTGCTTTTCTGTCATTCAAACTATAAACTATCTTCTCTAAA